GCTAATGTGTGTATTTTGTTTGGCCGTCTTCTGACCGTATCCCGGCCAGTGTCGGACCTCTATGTGTGTCTCTAAGCTATTATGTTTGGTCATCTACCCCGCACGCTAGCCAGTGATGACGTCAATGTGTGTGGTCAGTGCCGAACAGCTGTTTAGCAGCTGTTGTAAAACCAACGTTGCTGCTAATGTGTATGTTTGTTCTTCGCCGACCGCTAAGCTCAACTAATGTTGTGATGCAGCTAAGGTGTGTCTAAGCTGTTATTCCTTGAAAGTTGACCCGTACTATAGGCAGAGTTGTGGCCATCTTCGTGTGTATCTATTGCGCGTGGAACTAATTTTACCAGTTGTTTATATGTCCGGCAGATAAATCCGTCTCGTTGCCAGCTGGTGTGGTATAAGATTATGTTTGTGTTGATGCTGTGCTGCCGTTTATAACCTCACCTCAGCTTGTGTGCGCTCTGGTATTAAATGCATTCGCGGAGTGATATTAGCGTTGCTACACTATTTAATCCATCTATAAATATATCCGTTAGACGTTCTTGGAAGGACACTTCATTTCTGTGACTGTCCGGGTACGCGGCTTCTGATAGCTCAATTAGACGCTGTGCATATGCACGCGGGGTTTCCGAACGGTTCTGCTTGAAAGTTTTTAACATGCCCTGCGCGCGCGGAATTTCTGCCGGGCTTCTATACTGACGCTGTAAATTACTAAACAGTTGTGACCACGTAATGCCCATGTTTGCAAGTAAATGTCTACGTGCAAATTGCGCCGCCCCTTCTATTAACGTTGACACTGCTATCGATAAAAATTGCTTATCGGTTACGTCTAATTGAACGCGCGCTAGTTGCAAAGAATCCCGCCATTGTGCGAACGTGACCTGCAGAGGCCCAGGCGAACCGCTGAATTTCGGTATGCTCGCCCTTAATTCTGCAGCGCGCAACGTTTTATCAACACTGCTGCCTATATTATCTAACGAAGGTTTTAACGCTTCCCCAAATACAGTCGCAAGCTGCGTTATATCATATGCCATATGCGGTTCAACGAGCGGCGGCGGCACATAGGTGGAATTCAGATCGTAATCACTAGGATTTAACTGTGGCATATCAACAAACTGCGGAGTAGCCGGGATGGAGGGGGGGTCCTCGGAGGTAGTAATTAATGGATCCATACTCATTATACTCTCCTTACTTACTCTATAACTTAACTACGCTCGTACGTGTACGTAAAGCACTTCTCACAAGAAATTTCGTTACCACACCGTTTAAGCCGGAAAATATTAGTACTTACCGAGTCGCCGTGGAGAACATGCCGATGCGTGATGCAATGATACGGTTCGTCTCTCTCTGATCGCTCGTTTCCCTTGCGTTGTGTGCAATGGAATACCCAAATCGGACTGGTCTGGCATCAATGTAGACACGTGATTAGCGCTACCTTGTTTTAAGTGGTTCTGTAATGAACTAGAGACAAGTAAAGACAAGACAAGACGAGAAGTATGAGGTGCGTTCGGCCAAGCTCGGCATCATTGAGCGCAAACAAATCATCGTTTGCTTCGAGGAGACCCTGGATGGATTTCCGATGCTGGCCAGTTAAGTGTGTGAGATCGACGGGTAACTGACGGTGGGTGGGCGCTGCGACGTGGTTGACCTGGGGTTGTGAGCGAGCGGTGGGTATGGGAGTTGGGTGGGGTCGCCGCATTAGTGGCGTGCAGCGTGTGCTGGACACGGGCGTAGGGCGAGACATCGGCGACTGAGGGGTAACCTTGCATGCTATGGCCAATGCAGAGCCACGTGGCAGAGTGATGGGCGCCGACGTGTCATTGAAAAGAGGCACGTGGACATAGGGGGAGTCGGTAGGCGTAAGAACGGTATCGACCGTGTAAATGTTGGGGTGGGCTGGTCGAAGCGTATTCGCACCAGTAAGTAGAACAGACGCGTGAGGGGGAGGGGCGTTCTGATCGAAACGACCATAGCAACGTTTGACTGCATTGGGCTGTAGTGTGCAGGGGTGAAGCAACGAGACGGTATAAATAGTATGATAAGTAGTCTCATCAGCGGCGTTGCTTAGCTTAAGACGCACGGCGACGTTAGCTATGGTGAGCGTGGCTCGGCCGCAGTCGAGCTGAACATTGTGCGCTCGCATAAAATCAAAGCCTAAGATGACGTTACGCAAAACGCCTCGTACTATGAAGAATGGGTGTGTTACGGTAGTGCCGGTAATACGTACGGGTAGGGTGGCGCGACCCAGGACAAATAAGTGGTCTCCTGAGGCCGACTTCAAAACTTGTGTGTGGTTCGCACTAAAGCAATGTGCATGGCGGGCCTTGAGCTTCAACCAAAACGTTTCGCTGATAAGTGAGGTCATCGCACCCGTATCAACGAGTGCGTCCGCGGGTGCTGCTCCTATGAGAGAGGGGCAGAGAGGTGCGAGATGACTGGAATGGTTACTATGTAGCGCACGCACGCGCGGGTGAGACAAAGCGAACTGAGCCGGTCTCTTCAGCGTCTCATATTGAAAAGAGGCCGGGCGTTTCCCTGGGGACGCTGAGCGGTGCGTTCTTGGCGTGCACGGCACTCACGCCAATAGTGG